TATTTTATCGATAGCTCATTGAATATAAAGTTGGATAATGTTGATATCAAAGTTTGATTCCTCGACAACTTATAACTTTTTATTCATGTTCTGCTATTCGCATCAAATAATTCGATGTCATGGACAGTTTCTCAAGTCAACTTCATATCATTTCAATAACACCTATTAAAAGTGATGGGTGATTGGCACAAACATTCTCAGTATGGCTAAATGTTCTGAGAAATAAATTTATATATTTAAAACCTGACTATTGTATTGTACTTTTTAATCAAGAGGAAAAAACCTAATACAAAAGTGTTACGATACATTAAATTGCATTTACTGACAGATAACTGTTTCTCTCTAGTCCACTTAGACTTCTAAAGTCACTAGATTACACAGATTATTCTTATTTATGGTCAATGGTTATATCACGTGATATAATTATCACTAATGACATTAGTGATGAGACATTGAGTCTACAGTTAAATAACAACAAAAACACTCCGCTAAAGGCAGTTAAGTGGTTAAATTGCGGTTCTGCCCAAAGACAAATATTTTTAAATAAATTATGTACATCATAGCAAAATGGCATTGATCATTATAGGATGAATGGTAAAATGACGTACATACAGCATCAACAGAGAGTGAATTTGATGTTTCGCGACGATTCAATAATTGAAGAATGTTCAGAAATTTTCTCCTGCGGATAGAAAGCATTTGATCAACTTTACGCTGAATTTCTGAATTGGCAAAGTAGGTATCCACCACCTTTTGCGTAACAAATCCAGGTGTTCCATGATTCTCAATTTTAAAGTAACGCTTTTTCGTATGATCATAATAATAACCAGGTATATCTAATTCTTAAGAAGATAGTTACACTATAGTACCTGAGGGTTTCCACATAATATGTATCGTGGTACCGTCCCAAATGCTTTGTGCGGCAAGGTCAGCTTACACAAGTTAATTGGGTTCAAAATGGTTCAAATGGTTGTGGACGGAATAGAAGAAGCTTTCGCTTAACAGGCTTCCGTATCTAGTAGCAGGGGATCAACAAATCCTCCAGGCAGGAACCTAGGTATGTTAACAATAAAACAGGAAAAGAAATTAATAAATCATTGTGCAACACTATCCTTAGTCCTTGAGACTAGATCAAGTTGCCTCCCAAAGGACTCCTGGGAAGTCGCTTGGACTAGCTCTGCCGGCAGCGAATTCCAGAATTTGACAACTCGTAAGGAGTAGAAGTTGTTTCTACAGTCCGTTCTGCTATGTTGTGTCTCAAGTTTTGGGTGTTACCTCTTAGGTTAGTGTTGGAACTAAGCTTAAGTAGGTGTATGAGAGGATGTCCAGAAGTGTTAAGGATACTATAAGCCATCAGAAGGTCACATCTAAGATGTCCATACTCTAATGGGTAAAGGTTAAATGAGTGGAGGCGTTCTTCGTAAGGTTTGGATTTGAGTCCGCGAACTGATTTCGTGGCTCGTCGTTGGATAAGCTCCAAAGTGACCTTGTCCTTTTGGAGTGAGGGGGGAGTACTATGTTTCCGTACTCTAAATGGGGACGGATAAAACTATTGAAGACTATATGGGAAGTTTTTCTGTCAAACTGGCCAAAAATGCGCTTCAATGTTACCAGTGCAAGGTTTGCTCGGAAGGCATTTTTGTCACAGTTAGCGTAAGACTTTAAATCGTAGGGCACCAAGACTCCTGAATCTTTTTCGACTTGGGATACTACTAGAGAGGAGTTACCTAAGTTATAACTGTAGTGTGCGACATGTCGCAGATGGACCACTTTACAATTCATAATTCTGAAACTTTACAAACACGGTCTCAAAAATCCCGTAAATATTATTAAATAAACCAACAACGAATAACTGTGACATATGTATGAAATTATCACGGCACGAGTGACAAATAGTTTTCAAAACCTGTTTTCGTGTTATTTGATTTATCATAATTACCCAATCTTACAAGGTAAGCACAACTATCGACTGGCAAAAACTATTGGAGTACACTTTTCATAGTCGAGGCTAGTGAAATACACTGACATTTGTTGTTCAGTATCTAACTATGTATTCGTGTAATAAGGTTCAAACGTTACTAATTGCATGAAAGATAGAACATTTTAGTGAGCCGTGTGGCAGCTAACTAACATTCATTCCACGCATTATGTAATAATTAGTTAGATTCAGCAACACTACATCGCAGCGAGAAACAAAATGATATAACTGGAGTTTCAACCAGCAATTTAACACCTGAAAATTTATACGAGAATTCAGATTGTGTAGAAAAATAATGAAAAGAAGTGAGATCTATATAACAAAAGACAGTTAACAATGAAAGTGTACAAGCGAGATCAGCTAACTGGACTTATTCGTAGAACTTTACACCAAATGACTTGGAATGATCGAGGGTGGGGAAAGTCAGCTCTCCCTCTCGAAATGCTCTCACATGGCCACGTGCATACAACCACTGCCAGGGAAGTCCTACTCACTGCCTTCTTGTGTAGGGGCTGTTGTTTACGAAATTGAGAGGACAAAAAGCGTATGTCTGGCGCTTTAACCGGGTTGGTGGACATCGAAAGTCCACCTAGAAGAGTTGGAAAACCCTGATTCCAAACCAATGGTGCACAAGGGCTCTAGGATCCTAAGGAAACAAATAGCATATGAACCTATTGTTGGTCGCCTGCTAGCATGGAACTGCATCTTCATAAGTTGCTCCACTGCCTTGTGGGTTAGACTGTCAGGTCAAAGGCTTGAGATGTGCCGCCCCCAAGAAGATCACTTGCTTCGGTTTAAGCACCCGGGCAGTATCACAGCACTCTCACAGATCATTGATAAATAGGACTGGAAAAGTCGCTCTCTCTTCAACGCTCTCTGATACAAATTTCATCCATAATCATATGAAGACACTCGTTTTCGTTGGCGTTGTTGTCACATCAAGCGCTAAAGCTGAAGCATCCGGTCATGTGTTATTAGGTTAGAAAGCTTCATCAAAATGCATGAAAACTGGTGTGAGAAACAATGTCTTTTCATTATTTTCACCTTAATTCCGACAGATTGCAACCCGTTTGACACTAAGGATTAGTTTTACTACCACTTAATTGTTCTTCTACAAAAATTACTTTCGATGGATATTGTGGTACTAAATGGAGACTTGAATGCTCAGGTCGGGTGTCTAGTCACAGAACAGAGTTGTTTAGGTGGTCAATGGACACTTGTTCGTTGGAAGTCAGATAATGGTTCCGGTCTCCTGCAAATTTGCGCAGACTACGATCTGTTTCTGATTAAAACTAATTCCCGGCACAGTCAACGCCTATATGCGAATTGGTTGCAGCTTTTGTTGCAAAAAATATCAAACCGAGTTAAGTTTGAGGCCAGCTATCAACCAACTGAAAAGTATGGATGAGCGTTGGCTGAAATCACATGACGCCATGAAGAAAGTGAGTAAATTCACTTGCGGCTTTGCACAACGTCCTGTCTACAAGCACTGGGTCACAACGGGCTCCTTACAACTCAATGAAGCACGTCGGTCTACTTCGGGCGACCGTGAGTTTGACCATAAATAAGACTTTTACGTAATGAAGTTGTACAAAGGTTGTGTAATTTCATAGAAGCCTGGAGGTTGGAAGCAGTAGTTAATTCGTGTGACTGACACCTCTACATCATTATAATTAAAGTATTCTGATCCAGTGAAATCAGAAGTTGCAAACGAAGTGCTTCGAATATATATTTCCGAAAAAGTCGTTATGTTTAGAAAGGTTTTGTCTAGACTGGAAAGAAGTTACAGGGGATGTGTAGCACGGTGTATCCACTTGTGATCTGATGCGGACGCGTGTTTGGACACCCTCAACAAGGATGTGTCCAGCATAACTAATGAGGTCAGCATCTAAACCAAAGATTCACAGAACAATTCATTTTGGGATTTACTTACCGCTACACGTCTGTCACACACGCTACACGCGAAACCATCCACACACCAAGCCCTATTTCATTTATACGCCGTTTCCCCGGGTACTATTTGACCATAAGAATAGCGCAGCATTCCAAACAACAACTGTTAGTGTAGTTTTCAGCACGCTAATCCTTTCTTGTCATAACGGTGAGAACGCGGGAATGTTGTGCCACATCTGATCTCTGAAACAATAGATATTCAATTGTATGGGTAGACTGCAGTCTAATTTAAAACACATATAATAGCATTACCAAAGACTACCGGTGACTGTTCTTTGATTTCTCTGCCGATTCAACGCTTAGTTTGTTAGGTACATGTCCAGATGTGAACTCCTGACAAGTTATTAATCAGAATCCACCAAAATTTAAAAAACGCGAGTGACTTTATATCAATACGGTCTTGATACAACGGGAAGATTCATGTATTAATATATTTCAAGGAAACGACATCCTAATTGTTCACAATTTTTATATAATTGAGAGACTCTCAGACCACTGTTTTCCCATGTTTCCATAATTTCAAATTCTCGTTTGATCCACAAATTCTTCCTATATGCTTTATTATTCCGGGTTTGCCATTATCACTGTGGAATTGTATAACACATGACTAAGTTACGCACACATCGAAAATTCTTGATAGTACAGCTGTGTGACCAGACATTTGAAGTATTTTATTATTTAGGTTTTCTGTCACGAATGAATTAAGCATGATAGAGAATTGACCTGATTTGCATCTTCATCACTTTGGTTAAGTGGTCGACGATCAGTAAATATTAGAGCCTTGTTTATTGTTCATTGGTCAGTACCCCGACTAAAATATAATTCTCAGGTTCAATTGGGAATATAAGTGAACTAGCGACTACAACGCTTTTTGTATAATTATAGCTCGACCACAAAACATCCATTAAAACCCAGCGAAGCAACGTTTTCATTGGGCTAATAAAACTTTGATTTTCTTTTAAACTGTGGTTATAGCCATTATATTTACATTAGCCGGCCTTGCACAATTTTCTAGTAATGCTGCTCTACCACATACATTGAATGATTCAGTATTTAATCAACATTGAATGTAAAGGACGTTTCTAGGTCATTCTTAACCGCTGTATTCAGGCATTTGGTTGATGGCGATTGTGGAAACGGGTCACAATGCTAACGCACACCTTGGTGAGAGTCTACCAAACTACCAGGTTGAGCTAGACACCTCAGAAGAAAAGTTGAACTCCAATTTCTTTATTTCATGATTCAGCAGTTATGCAGATTCATACGGGTCTACTTGTGTTCGTTGTGGAGATCCCTTCCAATTAAATGAAAAAGTTGTGCAGACGAAAGATAGCAGTTACCACGTGAAGTGTTTTGTGTATGTTTAAATAACGCGTTTTAATTTTTCCTAGCTGTGTTCAGTGTTTTCAACCATTCCCGGAAGGCGTTTATTATGAAGTAATTACGTGAGATACTTCATGCTTTTACCTTAGTTTGATGGCCGGAAATACTGTGAACATGATTTTCACGTTTTATTTGCGCCATGTTGTGGAAAGTGTGGTAGAGTCTTTTTCGGATAATGTCATTTTTCATTAGGATGTTTCATAATTGGCAGGGTGATAAAGGCAATGAATTATAACTGGCATCCTGATTGTTTCCGTTGTCACATATGTGATAAGTGTCTTGCAGATGAGGGTTTTGTCAAATTACATGGGAGGTAATATTTTCTTCAATCTAATTTGCTTCATGGACTCATATATCATTCCCACAATGGTTTTTTAAATTATTTATAACATTGTTTCTAGAACCTGAAAACATGTTGTTATTCATTACAAAAGTTTTCAGCATTCTAAGTGCGTCAAAGTCCTAGTTTGGTGGTAAATACCCCAAAACTGGTTGGTGGAAATGTGGTTTATTTAAGTCCATCATCAATTTGATTGTGGGGACCGTCATGTCAAATAATATTTTTCCTTATTCTTGAGGTTGGTGCTTGCTAGATTTGGATCCTTATCTAAGCATAGTTGCAGCAGAAGGTCTTCATAATCTGTTCGCTGAGCAGCAACACCGCAATGTCGTTAATCCCTCCTTTTTTGTTTAAACGACATTATTAGGTTATAAAATCTGCTGCTGTTACTACGTTCGAGCGTTTGGTTGTTTTTTAATAGAACGTAAATCTTTCCGCAGAACTCACCGTTCATTTCATTCAAATTGTGAACAATAGGAACGTAATCAAAGACAATAGACCGGAAGCAGTGTGTCCCTATCCCACATGATTCCTACTGTCCCATTTTGTTCATCAGCGTACGAGTGATTTTCTTTTAGAATCCGGTGCGGGAGATTCTGTTCTGCATTTGAACTTAATCATTCATCTACACCGGATGGGCTTCGGTAAGTAGCAGTAGGTTCTTCAGATACACTAAGGGTAAATCTGGCTGGTCTTTATGTCCACAAGGTGAGGTCAAACGAATAATCATACTTGAACGTTATATTCCTCAAAATGTTTTGTGTTTGTCTCACCAGTTCATTTTTTTTTCGAATCTTATCTTAAATGCTTTTCCCTTACCCCTGATACTGTTACCACATCTATTCTGGGATTCGTTCTGACAATTTAATATCTGCTGTGTATGGTAAATTAAGCCGATGTACATACGTACAAGGTTGTGCGTTTCGGCTGACTGACTTAAATGCCGTACACACGTTTCAGAGATGTAAATTGCATCGACAACACGAGATTCTAGAATCGTAGCTAAAGGAGTCTGTTGTCCTTTCTGATACAGGCTTCAAATATTGAGAGTTCCGACATGTAGTTTGGAGCGTGGTTTCAAATTAGGAGTAACGTTTTGTAATTATAAACCATGAGCATTTGTTGCACTTGTTGAAAAACCTTTGCGACAATCGTTAGTCATGGGGATAGAAGAATTATTAAGAGGTGAGGCAAGAATTCGATCGTGAGCAAAATAATATTGGGTGCTGTTAGAGGTTTGATGGCGTTTGTCACTTGCAGGTTCCCCACACCGTGTAATGATGCTTATTCTTGATGGCCAGTTTACGAACTCAAGTCTGTGTGTTTGAACCCTATTTCGCTCCGTGCTGTGATCCCTCTAATCACAGATCATACATGAGTGATATTAAGTTATGTACACCGCCATAGATAACTGTTGAGTGATATTTTGGTGTCTATGTATTTAATTATACAGGTCACTGTCCTATTCTAACTACGCCTTACTTACGCCTGTTACCACTCGTGAAGGAGCATAGGCCGCACACCAGCATTCTCCATTCAACTCTATCCTGGGCAATTCTTTTCAATTGTTGTTCTTCCCTTTGATATCTGCTTCCGATTTCCAACTCAATGTGTGACTTGATCTTACTCTTTCCCATTTCCCTTCAACATTCCAAGTTAGCACTTGCTTCTTGATACAGCTTAGTGATTTCCTCAATGTATATCCTTTCCACCTTCAGCGTCTTTCCCTAACTTCGTTTTCAGATCGAAGCTGGTCTGTTCTCTCCCACAGTAGGATGATGCTAGTGGCATCCGGTCAATGGACATTGGCTATTTTATTTAGACAACTGTTTAGAAATACTTGTACTATTTTGATGATGCTTGTGGTAGTTCTCCGCGTTTCAGCTCCGTACAGTAGAACTATCCCGACGTTTGTATTAAAGATTCTAACATTGACATTGATCGGCAGTTGTTTTGAGTTCCATATGTTCCTCAACTGTAGGAATATGGCCCTTGCTTTGTCAATCTTTGCCTTTACGTTTGCACCAGGTCCTTTTTGTTCATCAATGATTCTGCGCCCAGCGCAACACATAACAACTTTTGTATCTATCTTTAATGCCTCAATCATTAAGATTTCTTGACCATATCAAAATCAAATAACCTAAAATTACACGATAGTGCTCGCTAGATGGTCCGACCATTTTTCGGTTGTTGTGAGCATACAATAGTGTGCCGTGTACATCTACAACCTCATTTCAAAGATTTTTTGTAGCAAAAATGCCGATGAGGTAGAAAAAACGCATATGTACGGTATTGGTAATGAAATTAACAAGAGATTGTCTCAAAACACTTTGTACGAGTGCTAATACCTTACAACAAATTGTTAGAGCTGAGATACATAGTCTTAAAACTACTTAATAATATGTGAAAATTATATTTGGAATAAGAGCTGTAAGTTTTAAACTTCGTCCTACCTTTTCTTTTGTTACATGTTTATTAAATAAAGTATTAGAAGCGCAATATCCTCATCAATCAGAAATCAGAAAAAAATGACTGGAGAGAAGCAAAAATACTTAAGAGGGCCATGATACATAACTTTATTGTAAATAAATAAAATGTCATAAACGTTACTGCACAATTTTCGGAAGATTACGTCAGTACAAAAACTAAATTTAGATGAAATACAGAAGTAGTCAAGTAAAAATAATTAAAGTTGATAACATCTGAGATAAATAGTCTTTTGGAGTGTTAGTAGTTAGTTTGCTAGATGAAACGTCGGAATTATTTAAATTTCAATCGCTGAGATTATTTCAAATATAATTTTTACATATGATCTTATGAAGACTAAATAAAATTGGCGAAATTAAGTTCCTCACCCGACCGTAAAATATATCTTCAGGACTAGTCTACTTTGATTTTTAACTTGGCAATTGAAAGTAAGATAGTTGAGGTCCACTTCTGTCAGTAAAAGTTAACTTCAAGTATATTTCTCGAGAATTTTCTTGTATATTAAGTCTTTGAAATAGGAGCTAAAATTTAGGAAATATCGGTTTAAATATATTCGATTATAAATGAATCTAAGACATAGTTTGTGTATATTGATATAGAGCACTAGCTGAATAATATGTAAAGTTGTCAATCTTCAATAACATCGGTTATTCGTGTTCAGCTACTGCCTATCACTTCTGGGAGCTGTAGAAATATTTGGAAGGTTGATTACAGAGATGTACAATATTGCATTAGTCCATGAAGTTAATTAGTGTTCTCAGTTGAATGTAAAGATTTTAGCCTTGATAAATCATATAACCATTAGTTACGACTTTGGTTGTTATTACTCAAAACGTATTGCACAGACTCATGTCCCTAAATCGTAAATACAGCATGATTGGATATCTTTAATTTGATGCATTCATTTTCTATTTGGTAGTTATGTTAAAATTTGCGGGTCACTTTTTTGAAACGTATTTAACTTACTGAAGCTTAAGCTATTAAGTAATATTTCTAACTTCATGAAAAGTGTGACCTGCACCTTAACGTGCGAACTTGTGTGCAATTTCTGTACAGTATTAGGGGACTTATGTACTCAGTTTTCCGTACGGACATACGCATCAATTTGTCTTTCAAGCAAAACAATAGGATATTTTCATAATATGAAGAGTAGGCAGAGTAACGTACTGTGCATAGTTTAAACCACAATTATTGGTCCAATGTAAGACTTCATCACTGTTATGTTCGTGACCCTGGTTTGGTGGTTATAATGTTTTTAGATCACCGATAGATTATGATGATGGTTCAGATAATTTTTTCTGGTCAGTTTTTTAACAAGGTTCTTTTCTACGGGATGGGATTGTCAACCATACCTCATCTGGGCTTGAGACCGCCAGTAAACCTACAAGGGCTCAGGCGGAGTTACCGATAGATTGTCGTGTGTTCATATCTGTTCCGAACTCTCAAACTGTTAAACATGTTCTTTTTTAACATTAGAGCTGTTTGCCATGCGTGTAATGAACATGAAAAAGCGTCTGGTTTGTCTTACATCACATGTCACAAATGTCGAGCTGTTGTGGAAGAAGGACAGCAGTTAAAGTATCGCTCTGAAGTATATCATGCATATCACTTTTCATGTGCATCCTGTGGTTCAGAACTTTCTTCCGATGCCCGAGAAAAGGATGGAGATTTGTACTGTCTTCGTTGTCATGATAAAATGGGAATACCCATATGTGGTGCTTGTAGGTAAGACATACTTTTAAACGAAAGGGTTAACTATAAAACTTATTGTAATAGCTGTTGACGTAAAATGTTTTAAGAGACACAGCTAAAAAGAATTTCGATGGAGCCATACGTCGACACGTTGAATATTTAACCTCCATTCTTTTGATCACTGGCTGAAACTCAATTTCGATTCCCAAGATTTAAATGATCTTTTTTCTGAAAAAATATGATTAAAAGTTCATATGTCTAGACTAAGTTGTTCAAAACTGGCGATCTATTAATTAAATCATTCGTCTTTCAACAATTGAGTTGCAGGCTCGAATCCTCCTTCACTTACTTCCATTCGGGCGGTTGGCTAGGACATCACTAGTTCTTACGAATTGTGTTTCTAAACCGAGAAATAGCCTATACTTATTGATTTCCACCAAGTTTTATTTAGAGGACTTTAATTGGGGCAGTAGTGAAATACCTGTTTCATTCATGTAGTCCGTAATGTTCATTGCCTAACGTCGGAACAACTGACGAAGAGTTAGATTTCATGTAATATTGTCACAGGACAACATTTTTTCGACAGAGTAATGTCATATATGTTCATGAGAGTTTAATCACTTTGATGATAGGAAACCTTTATATAGTACTTGTTGCTTTCCTCTGCGTCTTCCACTAAAATCAGTTCGTGATGGTGACAATCTTCAAAGTAACTCAGGATGAGGATATCGGAATTATGTTTTCTGAGCTAGATGGTTTAGTTATGGAACTTTTACTGTCCTTTCGGACATCTCTTTGAATTAATATCCCCCATTATTTAGTTCAGGATTACTATGTCTTTTGAGAATGTTGAATAGTTAGGACTTCTTAAATTAAACCATAATTTTTTATGCGAAGAGAGCAGTAACTAATAGTTTGAAATTCTGACTACTGAGTTGCTAGTTCAAACCTTATCTTCAGCGCTTCGACGATAAGTGTAGCTTAAAGCCTAATATATGACTCTGTAATTGTTTTAGGATTATTTTAATTTATTCTACATGTCTTAACAACTCACCTGATTACTGATAAACTAAGGTACATAGTAGTAAGTTTATGAAATAATAGGAATCTTTAAAAAAACAGTCGAAAAATTATGAGAATTGAACATTTCGATCCTTAATTCGATGTGATCAAAAGAAATTTCAAACATGACATAACCGTCGTATGTATACGCCTATTTCTTTTTATAATTATGCCATTTCAGACGCCCTATTGAAGAAAGAGTTGTCCATGCTTTAGGAAAAACATGGCATGTGGAACACTTTGTTTGCGCCCGATGTGAAAAACCGTTCTTAGGTTCTCGCCATTATGAGAAGAAAGGGTTGGCATACTGTGAACTACACTATCAGTTGTTGTTTGGAATGCTGTGCTATTCTTGTAATCAAGTAATACCTGGGGAAACAGTGTATGCATTAAATAAGGCCTGGTGTGTAGATCACTTCGGGTGTAGCGTGTGTGACAGACGCCTGAGTCCAAAGTAAGCGAGTTGTTTTTGGCAATATTTGTTCCATTTACTCAGTGTTTGTTTATCTATATGAAGATTAGATCCTTTGAAGTATATATAGTCCTTATATTGCACTAGTTTATATTGTTCGATGCTGTTCACATGACACATTATCCAAAGGTAGCTCATGTTTTGAAGTTAGCCATCACTGCCATATACTTGGCGGTCTAAAATGTAGTAGTTATCACCTCTATCCGCTGCAGATGTATCAAAATAACAAGTTATCAATTTTGAGAACTAAGTGGCTTTAGGAATCTACTTCTGCATGATTTATTTAAACAAATAGTGATTGCATCAAAAACTAACCCATAGACTATCAAATGACAACAAATGGTGTATTAAAGTATCAGATCTGGCAATATAGTGGAAAGGAACGATGTGAGAGCTCTCTAAGTACTACTCATTTCAGCAAAACCATGCTTACAAGGTATTCGGTTACCAGAAAAGCGTTTGTTCTCCCTGTGTTACATACCTAACTGTATTGTTAGTTTCTGTGTTTTGCTAACCTAGTCGATATTTGAGCGTGTTATCGTTATTTATTGTCAAAACCTGGTTAGTTAGAAAGTCATGATTTTTATAGCGTTTATTCGCATAATGATCAGGTATCCATTTAATGAAAAGAGAACTAACAGTAACCACTGTGGTGTCGATATTATTTATGTGCTAACAAGTACTACTACTCGCGTTACCAGAAAATTTACCACTTTAGTCACCTTCGTAATACAGGAAAAACACGATGACCTTGAATTACAGAAACGGACAATCTGTGAAGAGTATTGTATCACCTTTGAGTAATGTGCCTTCTGCAATAACTGGGATAGAAGTCCAAAAAATCTCATGACAGCTCTAAGTAAGAAAACTGTTCTTTCCTCTAATTGTATAGCACACACTATTTGCACATTTTAGTTGATATTGTCACTCAAGTAATCGACACTTCTACATTACGTGGGAGAACATACATCTAAACATTGACCTATTATCCAGTAAACCGTTTCCCGAATGTTTCGATAAGAAGTTAAAGCACTTGGTGAATTCTAGTCCTGAGTAGATTAAAACACCAGACCACATAAGTTTTGCGGTGTTGATAGGAAATAACCTTGGATCAATTCCTGGAGACATAGGCACTACAGTTCTTAAGTATCTGATTAGCGGACCCTTAATCAAATAATTATCATCATACTATTATGATTATATGAGTAACTGCTGCCTTTTATTAAATTTGAACCTTTCTTTCTTGTCTACAGAACCAAGTTTTATGAATTTGACTACAAGCCAGTTTGCAAATCCTGTTATGAGTTGTTTCCCGTGGAGTTACGTAAACGTATTGCGAAAATGCACAAAATGGAGGACTAACGCAAAAAACCAAATCTGGTTTTATAATAAATTTGCACCTCCCAACTCACTTTTACTGCGCTTCTATTACTTTACTATCTTTGACTATGTTTTGCATCTTAACTTTTAGTTTGCCTGAAATTGTAAGTGGGTTCATTGCTATACTAATCAACAAAATTAAAATAAAACACAAAAGTACGCATTTATTTTTATGACAAATGTGAACATTGAGAATTAATCACTGAAATATTATGTGACTGAGAAGAGAAAACTATACAAGTTTTTCAAGGGAAAGACCATGTTTAGGGTTGCTGGTTTTCCGTAGTTGGTGTGGCAAGATTTATACACTCCTCTTTGACTTCGGTCTGTTTGGGAGCCTGTACCGATTGAGCGTTTTTGTTGGCAGTAAGCTGTTGTGTAAGTTTCCCAAGAAGGCCTGTATGGCTGAGTTGTAAGCGCTGAGTAACCGGAGGCAATCGAGGCAATAAATTGACCAGTCGGGCAACGTCTTGTTTCATGTCAACTAGGATATCTTCCATAAGTGTTAACACTGAAATAAACGGAATATGTGAAGGGAGAAAAGTGAGGTTGGTGTATCCAGAAATTAAATATCAGAAAGTCAGACCATCAACAGTTTAATTACGTAACTCACCCTTATGTAGCAATGGTACTAAAGCTTTGTTTCCGGCAAGTGCATCATTGAATAAGTGAAGTTGTCCTGTAGCCAAACATTCAAGTTCTGTAAATCGTCTGTTCAAGCTTTGTATGTGCTCGGACTGGTCTGCTGCTATATTCAGAAGGGCTGCTCGACGAAGTTGCTCTTCGATTATTAGAGCTTGTTCTAAAAGTTTGAAGCGGCGAGCCAAAAAGCGGTTCTTAATTTCCAAAAAGTTGGCTTTCTGAGTCTCATTTTTAAACGGCTCATTTACAATTGCATAGTGAGGATCATTGTGTATATCCTGTATTTCGTGTATAGAATTAATTTACAAAACGGATATTTTAATAGGCGAAAGACATGGCACGTGGATATATTAAAGAATATGATGGGGAACAAACTTCTAGGTTTAATATAAGTCAAAATCTGACTACAATTGTTCTTATCATGAATATCTAACACAGCGGTTTTCAAAAAGATTGTACATGTACCTGCCACCTTCCGTATCCATGTTGTACTACACCAGCTAGAAGCCAGTAATCATGACGGCGGTGCCATATTTCAGCCTCTCGATCTTTTATTAACGCACGTTGTTCATTTAACCATATTGTATGGAGTTCGGTAAAACCACCATCAGCAATGTTGAACATAAAACGATGACTAACTCTAGCATTTGTGTTTTGTAAGTGTTCCGCATCCCCATCCTCCTTTTCTACGCATTCTGTTGGAACGCCCGCAGGATCTACATGCGACTCAGGCTAAAAAACACAAATAAGGAAACATTTTTTACGCGGAAATCATACAGTTGAATGAAACTGCGAAACATTGGGCTATATAGTATGGGTGATAAGTATAATCTAAACTCTACGCATATAAACGGATACACCATACCAGAGAACTTAAGTTGCTCTGTATGGCTTTTTCACTGTTTCGATTGGACTGCACATTAATGACTGATATTAGCTAGGAATCTGTACTTAGAGGAAATGTAATAACAAATAATGGGTTCTTCGATTTTTATTAAAATACATAAACATAGGTACGACAAGGCACCAAATAGATATGCGCCACACAAATCATTCGGTTTCAGTGAGGGCTGGGATATTGCCCGGGTGCTCAAACCGAAGCAGGTGGTTTTCTCCTGGGGCCACCCAGAGCCTTCGACCTGAAGGTCTGATCCACAAGACAGTGGAGCAACTTAGAGAGATGCAGTTCCATGATGGCCGGTGATCAACGATTGTTTAATACGCCATTTGCTCCTTCATGATCCTGGAGCCCATGTGCACCATTGGTTTAAAATCAGGGATTTGCGACTCCACTAGGTGGACACGCCGTGTCCACCAACCCGGTTAAAGGGCCGGACATTCGCTTTTCGTCCTCTCAATTCCTTAAACAACAGCCCCTCCGCGAAAGTTGACCCTCCCCACTCCCAGCCGTACCAGAGTATTTGGGGGCGTGTACTTCGATAGTCAGTCAATGTTGTGTGGCTACTGGATGCTACTGTGTTTTAACAGTAAGTCCTAATTCGATGGAACCGGAGAAATAGTTGTATTTGCCTATAGCTTTGTTTTTAATGATCAAAATTTCATAGGCGCCATTAGGAATGCATAAGCAGTTGAACGAAGAACTCTAGAACAGTGAGATTCATATATATATATATTAAAAAGTTACCTTTATATTTGTTGGTGGATCGTCTACCAGCTTATTTTGTCCTGCAGAAATGCGTAATTCATCGATTTCCATGGGATCAGTCATATCACTGGCTTTGGAAGCATCATCTGCTATGCAGGATTCTTCGCCCGTCCCGTTTGCCTTACCGTTTACTGGTTTCTCTTTGGTGAAATTAGCGACATCGTTGATTATAGGCTGTTTGTTATCTGTTTCCTGGAATCCGGGACGATCAGCTGGGTCTCCACCACTCTTTGTACACCCTTCATCAGGATCTTCAGTTTTTGATAACTGGCCATCTATCATTTCAGGTTTTGGTTCTAAGTCGGGCATACTCCAGTGACCGTTAATCTTTTCAAATTCTTGAACCTTTAATACGAGAAATGAAGAAAACCTACATAAATATGAAGGTTGGAAAAACAGGAACATCTAGATTCCACAAACATAGATACCTACTAAAATCGGACGTCGAATGTCTATGAACATACCACTATTGTAATCTGTGGTAGTATTAACCGGTAGAATCAGAAGACCTATACATCCAGAAGTTTCAATTTTTTAATCACAAATGTCTTTTAACCATTGCTTACATGGCGCGCTAAAGCGGTAAGGAACAGTAAGGTTGGGGTAGGACATTAAGCAGAAATGCCGAATTAATTTAGGTGGCCAGGTGATGTGAAGAGTGAAGTATGGAAGCAATGACGAGCAATAGAAGCTACTATTTGGAATGATGTTTCACTTAATCCAAGGTTTGTAAAATACTAACATGTAGTTTTGTCTGTTTCGTTCCATGAATAATAATTTCTTGTTTAATGTATAAACCAGTCACATAATTTTCTGCTTCTAAATTACTGTACTTTAAAACTAACATTTACTTTTCTTTCTACTTGACATTAGTGTGCGCTGTCGCCTTGCAAGTCATATATTTATTCATATATGCTTCAGAATCGGTAGCAGCGTCTTACATTCATTCAGTTTATCTTTCTCTAAGCTTTAACAGCTTGAATATTTTCCCATACTTCCTATCCATCGAATTCATTCTTTCTATCTGAATTGTGTTCTTCAGTGTTTGATCTTCCCCACTATCATTGATACTACATTATTTCCACTATTTTGCTATTTACCTTGTTAATTCCATCTCATGATGTTGATGTATGGTAAGTTAGACTGAAGCAAATTTGTGGCAGGCCCTATGATGGTTGCGATTGAATGAATTATGGAGAATTACACAGTATCACATCCAGGAAAGCCAGATGATATAAGGTGCGTGCAGATTAGTAGCAATTTCAGTACTGTTTTTACGAAAGTCAAAGGATAATTATGTAGAATGGAATGTCATACTAATACTAAAAAGGCATTTGAAAGGTAATCTAACTGTCAATTTGACTATCAGATGAGTTCAAGAGAAAACTAAGAGTGTGATATTTGAAAGATCAATTATTACAATAGTTTACCGACCAAAAGAGTATCACATTAGATGAATAGTGAAGATGTAATAAACAATATGACACATCTGCAGCTGAAAGTAAGTATACACACTTTACCAAATGTGAGATAAAAATATGCAAATCAGGTACTTGGCTAATGGTTTATCGCAAAAGAAATGCAAGGTGATCACTGAGTTGAACCTTTCAATAAGAGAATGGACCTTGTGTATGTCATTTTTATTACCACCGGGATGTTATGTAACATGACTTCGGAAATAAACTGTACCATATGAATGGTTAGTACTGAATACATCAGTACATCACTGATTACGATCAAACAACTGATATGCGGATATACCTACACTTAAATAAATGTAACAGATTATTTGTCTGTCATCGTAATTCCGTCAACTGACCAATCACCCCAGTTAAACATCCGTTTGGTTAGAAATCGGTTCTCAATCCCGTGAGAATTAATCTAATTGGTCACACTATCTAATTATTCAGTGCATGTGACTCACATTATTATTTTAATAATTAATATGTCTTAGCAAATCAAAATCCAGTCGTATAGTGAGCGAAAAAGTGTTAGTGCTGTTTTGATGAGACGTCGAAAGTTAGAAATATAAATTCGATATACTGAAAAGTAAAAAATACGAGGACGAAATAAAAGTATTGAATAATTTAAAAACTCCGGATTTAGAGAATAACACACGTAACCACCCGAGCAACTGCAACTCACTTTCATACAAATCCCCTAAGTTCATACTTAATACTTTTAAATATCTGATTTGATGAAGTACAGAAACTCAAGTGTTTATTATACTAAGACGACAACATATTAACGAGTTAAAAGTCTACACCACCACTTCAGAAAGTGACCTAAAGTTTACTGAACAAACTTAGTAGGATCAATTATGAAATGCAAAGCTGGAAGCGAAACCACACCAAGTTAATAACTCGAACTATCAACACAATCATTTCTTAAATTTACAACACTATTTTTAAGCACACAAATGTTGATAGACTTACCTTTTTTCGAACAAGAACCATAATTCCGATACGACTAAGAACATGTTGAGTAGATAATCCTTCTCGGGGAACCCCATCACTGAAACTATCAGAATTCTCTGTTTCAGGTTCACAAAGGTGACGCATAAATAAACAAATATAGGCTCGAAATACACGGTCAGGTTTACATCTTAAATCCCTGACCATCCAAGGTTGATCACTTGGAGGTAGTCCATACCTATATAGTGTTGTTAGAAAATACGTAATAGAAGGTTTAAAGTAGGAAATATAATGAAGAATTAGACTCAGAGTTTATGCGGGTGAAAGTCACCGATATTACTCACAACTATAATTTGAAGGAAGTAGACATTTAAAGAATGCATGGAATTTATTGTGACTTCGTAATAACGTAACAACTTTCGGGGTAAATAAAATTATTTG